AACACAAACACGAACACTAACACTATCACTAACACTAACAGTAACAGAAACAGGAACGATAACAACAAGACTAAAAATGTTTCAAACGATACACAAGAAAAGCCACCAAAACCGTCCAACCAATCAAGGATGACAGCCTGCGCAAGTACAATCATGATCATCGTACTACTCTACTAGCTCTGGGCAACAGAGAAGAAAGGAAAATGTGCAACCCGTGTATGTGCCTGATCCCCACGAAGTACAGGCGGGCGCGCTTCTGCGGTACCCAGCACTCGGAATTCAGCTGCGCGGTCTGGACCTCGGGTGTAGCAAGGCCTCAAGCTTCTTGGGGATCCATAAAACCCTAAGCCCCATTTCTGAGGGTTGGGACTTGGGGTTGTAGTTTTGGGGGTTTCTGGCTTTGTCAAATCTTGAAAGGCGCGATGATACAAGACCAGCTGCGGCAGCACAGAGGCCAAAGTCGGAACGGAGTACAAGGTCGGCGTGACTTGCGACATGTAGCAAACACCTACATCCTAAAGGTTAGGGTTTAGGGTTTAGGGTTTCTAGAACCCCTCAACCCGGCGCCACAAATGGATTGAGGAATGCCCAGGTCTCCGGCTGTGTAGCCGACTTCCTCCAAGCATCGGAGAACCCGGTTGTACACCTCGCCTGGCAAGTCGTGACATGCCATCAAGAGGTGTTTTTCGCGCTCTTGGGGTTTAGGGTTTAGGGTTTTGGGGTTTTAGGGTTTTGGGTTTAGGGTGTCTTTCTGGAGCTCCCACTTACAAGTGGCAACACAAAGTGTTTGTTCTTCTTATCGCTCCGCTCTGCCAACTGTGCTTGCCGCACAGTCCCGGAACTTAAGGATCCTTATAGAACCCTTAGTCAACCCCTTTGAACCCAAAACCGTTCAACCCTGCACACTAAACCAACTGTGTGTGGGGCGCACCATTGAGGCATTTCGCTGGATCTGCATCCCAATGCCCACCGTCAAGGAACCTTTGCGTCGGCTGCGTGGGGCTTCAGGGCTTAGGGTTTTATAAGGGCAGTAGAATCGAGCCGTAGAAGTTGTGGAGAGGTTTTGCGAAGTGTTTACCAAGGCTTTACATGGTTTTCTAGGCTTGAAAAAGATGTTCTCGGGGTTTTAAGGAATTCAGGTAGGAAGGTCGGGGTAGGTAGGTAGCTGTGCAGATATACGCATGTTGTTATTATCACACATTGCTGTCGCTGTACCTGTGCACAAGGACTATGAAGGGATACTCTGACACAACATTCGGAGCTCTTTAATGTGTTGCAGTGCCCTTGGCTTCATGGTTTCAGGCTTCGGGGCTTCAGGGTTTGAAGCTTGAAATCAGGAGTTCAGGATCTGGCTTCAAGGGGCTGTAAAGCTTCAGGGTTGACAGTAATGAGTTTAAACCCTGAACCCTAAACCCTAAACCCTAGTAATGAGTTTAGGACTCCAGGACTGACCTCTTATGTTCAATTCTGCATGCGACCGGGCGTCTGCATGTTCCACACGTTTTCCAGCAAGAAAGCTTTGGGTCGACACGCATCCAGGGCACGCACGATCCTCGCGGTTTAGGGCTTTCGGGTTCAGGGCTTTACGGCCTGTGGCTCAAGAGCTTCAGGGCCTTCAGGTGGTTGGAGGGGGTTTCGCGGGGCTTTAGGGCGTTAGGGCTGGGCCTTAGGGCTTTAGTGCGACTGTCGGGTTTGGTCCGGTCTGGTCAAGGAACTCGAAAAAAAGCTCCCCACGTGCATCTTCGAATCCACGCCGCTCGCCGCGACGACTGAATGGCTGACAGGGGAAACCTGCGATTGCATGCGTCTTCCACGGCAAGAGGGCAAGAGTCTTTTTTGACGAATTGGCACAGACCAAACATGTACATACCAGCAGTCAGAGTTTGCATTGCGCAAGCACCCCGCCTGCTGTCAAAAGGTCATGCCTGGGCAAGTCCTGCGCATGACAGGAACATGCAACAACTTTGATCATCTTGATTCTGGATCTATCGCATATACAGATCCTACATACGTGAAGCAGAGCGCAATCATTTGTAGGTTGGAAATGTCAGGTCCATATCGAGGCCCACCCACCTCGGAAGGTATCATTGTGATGTCGCCGAACAGCTCATTTGACCCGAAATTTGCTGCATAGGCTTCTTGGCAATCCACATCCTGAGGATTTGAGCTTTTATGGGCGCAATGAGCACTAACCCCTGAATTTCATGGGCAGTGGGGATCTGCTCAAACTGTTTAGGGTTTAACATGCTTAAAGTTGCAGGTGGAGGGTGTTTGGCAACCTTGCTTCGTTTTCCACCATAAATTACTAATCGACGACAAAACCCAAAAAGAACACACCTGACCAGGCCACACACCTTGGCTTGCACTAAACTTTGATGCCGTAACACCCAACTGCTCAGTTCTGCAGCTGGGCTTCATTGACAAAGAGACTTACTTCCGCACGCTGGCGCTGGCACTGGCGCTGGCGGTGGGATGCGATGGGGCTGGGGTTGAGGCGGAGCTGGGGCTGGGGACAAAAGCACCCCAACTACAGCTTCTCGGGTTTGGCGTTTTTGGGTGGGCAGGCCTGCGTGTTCTTTGTTGAAAATTGGTGTTTTCCTTCGCCTCCGGCTGTCAACAGCCCGGGCTCAATTCCTCGCACCTCAGCAGGGTGTGCCTTGGACAACAGTTCCAGCATTTCAAGCTGTCACTGTCCTCCACCCGCCTAAATAGCAGCAGCTTCCTCGCCCTTTCATCCTGGCTGGGGCGGAGGCTGGGGGCCTGCCGATGCTTGCTACGCATGAACCATGCACGAAACCCGTCACGCAAACCAACTTAGCACGTGTGGCAACTGTGGACAAGCACGAGGTTGAAAATGAGCTGCCTGTGCACAGCTCCACGTGGTCAACGGGATCCGGTGAGCAAGGACATGGTTGCAACTCGGGACATCGGCAACGAGCCGATGTGGAATCATGAGGTCCCAAGCTTGTTTGCGGACCTGCCAGAGTTATGGAGGGTGGGGCAGCACACTGCAGAGCAACAATGTTGCCAAATATACTGCTGGGAGGATGTGCCCGCACACCGAACACTGCTCGGCGGCCATGCCTCCACTCTTGGGCGACTCGTATTGAGCATGGCTGGTGCTGGCGCTGGCGGGGTACAAGAAGGATTGAACACGATCTCTATCCCTAATCGGCCTAGTGACTAGTGCTTATTTCACACTGCAGGGTCTGTTTAAGAGGTTCAGGGCCGAGGTTCAATGTTTAGAGCTCCTTGCATTAATGCGGCCGAGATGTCGATTTCTGATGCGAAGACACATTGGCCACCAAGGGGTTCCAACCCGTGCCGGAAACCTGTCAGACTGAGAAGGAAGGTGTCGGAAAACAGAAAGACCGCAAAGGCACGTGAAAAAGAGTAGTATTGGTAGAAGCAATTCCAGTAAGAGTACGGATGGAAATGCTAGCAAGTCGAAATGGACATGGTACCAGCAACAGTCGTGGCTATATCGTCACGCCGCACTCAAGCTCGTACTCGTAGCGGCATAGCGATGAAAATGACAGCAGCACTGGCTCCAGCATTGGTGGCTGGGTTAGCAATGGTCAGCGCGGAAGCAATAGCAAAAAAAAAGTAGCAGTAGTACTCCTAGTTGCGTTGTCGACTAGGATTCTTCTGACGATTGTGATCCCAACTCTTCTGGGTACCCTTTGCTTATTCAGTATGATTGTCATGGTCCCAGTCGCTGTCCATCTTCCTGCTGCAGTTCTCATGTTCTGACGCTACCAGTCAACCATCACCAGCACCATCATCATCATCATCGTCGTCGTCCCAAACCCTAAACCTGACCCTTAAGCCACCGTCACCGCCATCGCTATCACCAGCGGCAACAACAAAGGACCTCTTGAAGCTCAGAACTCTGTGTGAGTTTTGGGGTTTCGAAACGAAAGAACCCTATAATTGCCTGTAGTCACAGTATACTATTCCCCCAAAGCCTGTAGGCAGGCCCCCTACCCTAAGACCATTTCTGAGGGGCTTCAGCAGTTTAGTGTCTCGGGGTTGAGGAATCTGGTGTTCAGGGTCGTGGAGTTTAGGGCTTCGGTGCTACTGCTTTAAAAGGTTTTGAGGCTTGAAGTGGCGAATCCGGAGCAGGTGGGCAAAAATCTGGATTTTGGGTGGCTCTTCCCCTGCGCTTTCACGAGCTTGGGAGGCCAAACACTTGAGCCCCAAAGACCGGACCAAGCCTCCAACGCCTGCAAAGAGCTCGATGAAGGTGAAGCTCGCCGCTTCAGCCTCTTACACATCCAGGGCACAGATACTGGTCGACTCGATATCTTACTTGTCCAGTACCCTGCGGAAAACTCAAGGTTAACTTGTGGGATAAAGTACCCCAACAAGGTCAAGGTAAGCTACTCTAGTACTAAGATACACCGCAACAGGGAGGGAGGGGCCCGGAAACCAACGGGGAATGGGTTGCTACCTGTGTATGTATGTATGTATGTATGTATGCATGGATGTATGTATGTATGTATATATATATATGTAAGTATAAGTATATGTATGTGTATGTGTATATGTATATGTGTATGTGAACGTGTACGTGTATGTGTATGCATGCATGCATGTGTGTATTTGCGTATGTCTGTATGTATGTGTGTGTATGTATGTATGTATGTATGTATGTATGTATGTATGTATGTATGTATGTATGTATGTATATGTGTGTATATGTGTGTGTGTATGTATGTATATGTGTGTGTGTGTATATGTATGTATGTATGTATGTATGCATGCATGCATGCATGCGTGTATGCATGGATGTAAGTAGGTAGGTAGGTAGGTAGGTAGGTAGGTAGGTAGGTAGGTAGGTAGGTAGGTAGGTAGGTAGGTAGGTAGGTATGCATGTATGTATGTATGTATCTATTTTATATTATTTATGTATTTCTGTATTTATGTATTTATGTATTTTTTGTCTATTTATCTATCCATTTATTCTATTATTAGTCTTATTATACATACATACATACATACATACATACATACATACATACATGCATACATACATGCATACATACATGCGTACATATATAAGAAAGACCTAGTAGAGGCGCCTTCAGGGACACCTCAGCAGCAGGGCCCGTGTACGGCTGCTTCCCGAGGCGGAGGCCTGAGAAGTGGCTTCTTTTCGGGACTTGTTAGGGTTTAAGGGTTTAGGGATTAGGGGTTCAGGGATTTAGTGGTTTAGGGGTGTAGGGGTTGAAGGTTTAGGGCTGAGGGTATCCCTCTTGCTTGGAGGATCATGGGTAGTTATAAGTGCAGGCTACACGTAGGGCGATTATACTTATAACCCGTATTACGGGCCTTGTATCCCCGCCTAAAACTACCCATGAACCTCCAAGCAAGCTACTTTGGATTTGGGGCTTACGGCTTTGTTTTTCCACTGGATTCAATCAGTGCTAACGGGGTAGGGCTTAGCGTCTAGGCACTTTCTGACGGCTTAGGTGATGTAGGGCAACTTATTGCAACAAGGACTCGGAGAGATCTAAGAGATACCCCTATAGTTTAAGGTTAAGGGTTAAGGGCTTAGGGTTTAGGGTTTAGTGTATGGACATGAGCAATGGGTTACGGTTTCTGGGGAATGTTCTCTGAGCTTGGGGTTTAGACTTCGCGTTTGTATGGGGCCCAGCCAGCACTGGCCAAGCTGACTGAACGACCCTACCCCGGAACCAAGCCCCTAAACCCTAAAACCCTAAACCCAAACCAGACTCCCCTAAACCCAAGGACCCGACACCGTGGTCCCTAGGCCTCGATCCCGAATCCATCTGGCCCAAAACCATGCCTGTAGATTTCAGTGTTTAAGTGCTTTGGGGAGTGGGGCCGGTGGGGTACTTCATGATACCCCTTAAATGCAAGGGTTTAGGGTTTAGGGTTTAGGGTTATATCCCTTAAAAGCACTTAAAGTATAATGCCAATCCCCGGCCCCAAGACCCTCCCCAACCCAAAAAGCCCCCAAAACACCCAAAACAACAAACCCACAAGCCCTAAAACCCTAAAGCCCTAAAGCCCCAAAAGCCCTAAAACCCAAAAAAAAACAAAAAACCTAAATCCCTAAAGGCCCTAAAACCCAAAAAAACCAATAACCAAAAAAAAAAACAAAAACTAAAAACCCTGAAAAACCCCTAAAACCCTATGTTACACCCTAAAACCCCCGCGCAAACTTCGGGCCTTCCGCAAACTCCACGGAGCCCTCCTTTAAGAGGCTCTGGAGCTCCGCAGGCCCCTGGGAGAGCTCCCAAAACTGAGGCTTCTGGGGTTTCGGGTTTTTGGGGTTTGTGGGGTTTGGGGTTTAAGGTTTCGGGTTTTTGGGGTTTGTGGGGTTTGGGGTTTAAGGTTTCGGGTTTTTGGGGTTTGGGGTTTAGGGGTTTGTGGGGTTTGGGGTTTGGGGTTTCGGGCTTTTGGGGTTTCGGGTTTTTGGGGTTTGTGGGGTTTTGGGGTTTGGGGTTTCGGGCTTTTGGGGTTTGGGGTTTAGGGTTTAGGGTTTAGGGTTTTGGGGGTTTGGGGGTTTGGGGTTTAAGGTTTAGGGTTTTGGGGTTTCGGGTTTTGGGGTTTAGGGTTTTGGGGTTTGGGGCTTAGGGTTTAGGGTTTTGGCGTTCGGGGCTTAGGGTTTAGGGTTTAGGCAGGA